TTACTTTTGAAAGTGCGTGAAAATGCGTGATTGCGGGGAAACGGTATATGCGTGATTTTGCGTTAGAAATAGGAAATGGTATATGCGTTAAAATGCGTGACTGCGGGGAAGAGGGTTAAAACACATACATAGTTATGAATATTTTGATAATTGAAATGTGACAATGCACCAGAAGAAAACTCTTGTTAAGCGAACACTTATTTCAATATGTAAATCATTGAAAAGAAACAAAATTCTTACTGATGAGGATGAGGATGAATCAGTGTCATCATCTTGGCCTATTTCATTGTCCACTTCATCTGAGCACCTGCCATGTCGCTGTTTTAGAGCACTTCTTGGAGACGGCGGAACCAGATTTTTGGATTTCTCCTCGTCAAAAACAACACGTTCATTTATTTTTTTACACGTTAATATCTGCTTGTCTCTGTTCATCATGCCTACCCTGTATAGATATGAATGAGAGACAATGCCGAAGGTAGATTTGTATATATTTGTTTTATAGAATAATCTTCCTGCTTTTTTATTATTCCTTTCTCGCCTACGTAAAAATTATTCCGTATTGCTTCGGTTAGAATGTAAATATCTCAGGTGCATTACATTACGGCTCCAATTTCTTTCTCCGGAGTTTCCTTATGTCAACCCCCTTTTCCCTATGGTGAATGAGAATTTTCTCACTAATCATATCTATTTCTTAAAGTGATAATTTTAATGCCTAAGGCTATGAGACTTTATATTGTAGAGGTCTGTAACAAAAATAAGTTTTAAAATCTTAACAGAATTCATGTAATTACATTTTTCCTCCATGGGTAGCTATATTTATTTATAACAGTTTCATTGTACTTTTAGCCATTTAGTCCATTTGTTTTTTAAAAATACTGATAATTGAGACTATTCATATCGGAAAGGACTTTCCGGCAGTTTTGGTGAAATTTTTCTGGAGGACTTCGGGTATTTGTCACACATTCTCAATTTATAGTGACAAATCGCCTGTGCAAAAGTCCAAATTTTTTGTGAATTGAAACTAACATTTTGATATGTTATTGATATCATGTTATTTAAAGCATAAAAGTGTATAGTTATTTAAAAAAATCACAATTCATGACATACTTAATACTGTGTTTTGTTTGTTCCATCAAAACGAATGCGGTTAGAATGTTAGATTTGCATCACTGAGATATTAACGTTATGTTGATGGATCATAATTAGAAAAGAAAGTAATTAAAACAGATAACGTAATTAAGATAACACACATCAAATTTTATTTACTATAAACATTTACAAAACATTTTTCAGTACATTTCTAAAAGGGATGCGGATACTAACGGCATGATTATATAATAGTAAAAACAAAACGAACATAATTTTCATTTAAAAGAAATTATTTTCTTTTTATTCTAACAAGATCAAATCTGATAATAAACTAAATAAAAACAATGTTCCCCAAAATGCTTCATTATTTGATTCTGTATTAATAAGGTCAAAGAAATGAAAATAATATTTTAAAGAAAAGAATGTAAAGCATTTCATCATAACCTAATTTACAAAGTATATGTTAAATGTCATGCAAACATGCACAGCTATCAAAAAAAAAGATGTACCATAAAGATGTGTCATAAAAAAAGGAAATGACTGTTTCACGAAAAACTCCATATATTTATTATTTTCGGGACGCCCTGTCCCTTCCTTATGACGTAGAAAAGGTTAAAGAGTCATGAAAAAACAAACACATCTCACTAATACTATGCTTCTAAACCCTATTCATTTACACTTTAACATTTTGAATTTCAATGTTGAAAACTAATAAATATGAAATGAATCCGGACCACTGCGAGGCACGTCCGGTCAGTCTGGTATATTCATTGAATGTACATGTATATGAAACGGAAAATATACTGTTCAAAATTAGACTAATATTGAGTATGGCTATGCAAATTGTGGTTAATAAAAAAAATTACAATTGGTATGACCCCTTTTGGAAGCTACAGTTCTTGAATATTTTCTAGAAAGCCTTTTTCAACTTCATTAGCAGTTAAAAAATAAAAACAGTGTACAATCAGGTTGTAGAATACATAACTTTATCCTAGTCTCGAAAAAACTTTACCCTAATCGTAAAGAAATAGTTTATATATATTACTCTAATCTTCGGCAAAACGTTGAGGGGTGTTTTCCTGTTAATTACGTGAAATTTGAATAGAGTCTTTTTCTGAGCATAAAAAACGGATGCTGCAAACCAAACTGGTGCAAAAAAAAGTAACATTTTACAATAGAAGTCACCAATATTTGTTCAAGAAAATTAGAAGCATATTTGCATGTCGCAATCTTGGACTAGGGTAGGCACTTTACCCTAGTCCGTTTCTACACAGTGAAAAAATGCAAACAAAGTCTGAATAGAAAACTTTGGCATGTCAAACGTTGCAATATTCAATCTTTTGATTTGTATTGTAAAATTTTCCATTTGTATTGTAGAATTTTCCATTTGTATTCTATAATTTTTCATTTTATTGTAAATTTTTTATTTGTATTCTATAATTCTCGATTTGTACTGTATATTTTTGTATTTGTATTGTATAATTTTTTATTTGTATTGTATATTTTTATTTATATTCTATAATTTTCCATGTGTATTGTATAGTTTTGCATTTGCATTGTATATTTTTTATTTGTATTCTATAATTTTCCATTTGCATTGTATAATTTTCAATTTGTATTGTATAATTTCTCATTTGTATTCTATACTTTTCCATTTGTATTGTAAAAATTATACAATACAAATGGAAATTAATACAATACAAATAAAAAATATAGAATACAAATGGAAAATTATAGAATACAAATAAACATTATACAATACAGATGGAAAATTATGCAATGCAAATGGAAAATTATAGAATATAAATGTACAACTCTTAAACTACTCAACTTATGACCAATTTTTTTACTACACCATATATGTAAAAATACTGTACATTGGACCAACTTTTGGCCCAACCATATAGGACAAATCAAACTTTAATACTATACTCGTACTTATGTGACAATAAGACACACTGGGCCAACCTCATGAGGTCAATGTACCCCGACATTACCAATAATTGTACGTTATCAAACACTGGCCCAACGTTGGCACATCTGTGTTATGCCAATATCAACATGTCAATTAGTTACCAACGTTGGGCCAATATATGTATGCTGACTGGGTTGTGACCACAGGTACTTGTGGACAGGACCCCCTCCCCCCTATATTCAGCTCCCAGGGCTTTTTGGATATTTCTTCATAAATTATATTTATTACACTTATTTATCACGTATACCAAATGAAACAAGCATTCTGAGAGTATTGCATTAGCAATACTAGTCCCCTACCGGCAAGTGCATGTAATCTGGTTCCCGTTAAGAATTGAAAATGCCATAATTCTGTCAAAAATTAATGAAGCGGGACGAAATGCGAACTTGATCTATAACTAATCAAGGTAAAGCCAGATACCAAAATTCAAACTTAAACTGTAACTCATCAAAATACACTCACATACCAAAAATCAGCTCAATATCTGCAGGCGTTTAGGAAAAAAGTGCGGAAAACCAAGTGGGACAGTCTGACAGACAGACAGAGGGACAGACAGACAGACAGACGGACGGACAGACTCAGAGGAAACCTATAGTCCCCTCCGGTTTCACCGGTAGGGGACTAACAAGCATTCTTAGAGTATTGCATTAGCAATACTAATCCCCTACCGGCAAGTGTAATCTGGTTCCCGTTAAGAATTGAAAATGCCATAATTCCGTCAAAAATTAATGAAGTGGGACGAAATGCAAACTTGATCTATAACTAATCAAGGTAAAGCCACATACCAAAAATCAGCTCAATATTTACAAGCGTTTAGAAGAAAATTGCGGAAAACCCTTAAAAATTGAAAAGGCCGTCATTCCGTCAAAAATCAATGAAGCGGAACGAAATGCAAACTTGATCTGTAACTCATCAAGATACACTCACATACCAAAAATCAGCCCAATATCTGCAAGCGTTTCAGAAAAAAGTGCGGAAAACCAAGTGGGACAGACTGACAGACAGACAGAGGGACAGCTAGGCAGACAGACAGACAGACAGACGGACAGACAAACGGACGGACAGACTCAGAGGAAACCTATAGTCCCCTCCGGTTTCACCGGTAGGGGACTAAAAAACGGGGGAAAACGCAAAACAACCGTTCCATACAATAAATACCTCACTTTACATTATAAGAGAGATCACTCCTATGTGACTTTGATTTTGACTATACTTTGAGAATCAACGTATATTTTACATGATTATCATATGGCTTTCCTTTAGCAGATCACTGTGGCAGTTGGTGTATGTGTAAAACATATTTTATAACCTTAAGAAAAAAGTTGGTAGAAATCGAAGACGTGTGCTAGAGTTTGAAAAAGAAGTAAATACTAGTACTTCCTAATCTTCTTTCAGTTTATTTCCTTAATACCGATAGTAAGACTTCCTTATATTGGTAAAATTATACTTCAAGGCTCAAATCTTTTTTATTGAAAGTGTGTATGGAAATCTTCCTTTTATTCAGGAAGACGTATTTTTAACTGATTCAAAATTCCAGTCCTCGATCCGAGACAGTATATGACCTGCATTGATCGTCAGAAGCTTGTGTGCCTTCAGCGGATGATTATGTGTAATATAATGCTGCCAAAAATCGACTCGCAGAATTCTAACACAGGAATTCTTAGAAATTCCTTTTTTTTTTTTTACCTTTAACGCAGTGATTTCTCTTCAGATGCTGGTGAATTACTTGTGACTTTTGGAGTTCATACCATCTGGAGTTCCAGGTTTACATTTTCATAAAATATTCATTTGTTTAATTCATGGTAATTGATACGATTCATTAATTGGTAATCAGTGAAAAATTTAAATGTTTATAATGGTAATTACATGATACATGTTTTCACTGTAATCTGTGAACATCATTTTGAATTTTTTTTCAGTAAAAGATCACAAAAAAAAATGCTTCAAAGATTTATTCTGGTTTGCATGTAATGTATTCATGATCAATGCCATTCATAACAGACAACAATATATTAAAAATATATTTAAAATTACAATACATTTATATAACAAATGTAGTTAAAAGTATGAAATGAACATTATTTCCAAAGATGAATAAAGTAATCAAAATGCAGAAGCAAATCAAATTTTATACTGTTAAAATATTGCAGGGTTAAAAAGTCCAAGAAAGCACAAAGCTTCCAAGTGCTCTACAAAGTTTCTGTACGATCTAAATCACGTATGTTTACATCTTGTTCTTTATGGCAGTATGGGCCAGCCAAATATCAGAGCTACAGTCCCCGCCTGGATACCTGACCTCGTGAGCCAGCATGGGACCCTGGGGCTCTTTGCCGAAGTCCACTAAGAAATTCGGGTTCAACGACAAACCTCCGGTGACATTGTTAACATCCAATATGTACAACTGGCATCCCTCCCTGTGAAAGGTAATAAGAATATAGGCTATAGTAATTTAAAATTTAAGATTCATGGAAATTTTCCAAAGCTTTTGGCAAAACTAAACATGTAGTTTTAAAAAAGCATTATCATCGACAGCGGAATATTTCTTACCATTTCTAAAGAGTGTATCTCTAAAGTTTTTAAGAGACATTAACATTTTCAAAATTCAGAGTGGTTATAATTTAAAAATATTTTGTAATTTAACAAACACACCAATAATAAATGTACAATGGAATTCATACTGGAAAATAAGTCACATGTCAATATCGCTTTCTTTTGTTAGAATGGTTAAAATGTGAGGGAATTTTGGGAAGGGGCTACACAAAGCTACAAAAGAAGTGGGTCTATCTTTCAAGGGCAAAATTACTTGGTAAGCTCAGGGTAGAACTGGTCATCCCACTTAGAGAAGAGAGAAGTTGTCACGTATAATCTCTTCCCGTCCAAACTAAGCTGAATCATCTGGGGTGCACCTCGCAGGCGCTGTCCTTTCACATACACAGGGTCTGGCTGACTCTGAGAAAAGGATGCAAAATGAATAAGGGTTATAACTAATTAAAATATTGAGTTTGGATTTGAGAAATTAACTGAAAAATACATTGATGAACGAGCAATGAAAATAACTCTGAAAAAATAGGAGTGCCATTACCTTCAGTTCTGGGTCATCTAGCACCTTGACTTTACCACCTTTGCAAATGCTTCCACCCAAAAAGACCTGAAGTCCAACATTTATGAAACATTTATTAAGTCTTCCTAAATGAAAAGAATAATGAATATTTCTGAAAACCTGAATGGGAATTTTTTTGTTAAATATGAAAGTAATGGGTTTCAAGTAAAATTTCGATAGTGTTTGTGGAATGAACTTCTCTCTACTGTGCTGATATGTCATTTTTTATTTTCAAAATTCATTTTCATTTCTAATTACGTTAAATCTTATTCTCCTGATGGTTAAAATAATCTACCAATTTTTTTTTCAAGCATAAAGATATTACCTGTCCCACAAGTTTGGGATTCCTTCTGTCCGAGATATCGTACTGACGGATATCTCCATGGAGCCAGTTACTGAAGTACAGATATCGGTCGTCAAGAGATATCAGGATGTCCGTAATCAAACCTAACGATTAAAACAACGGGTAAATCAGTGTGTAGACAAGTTATCAATTTTTATGTTACATGCCTTAAATCGTTTAAATTGATTTTGATTATCAAATAAATAATCCTGAAGCAATGCTAACTGCATGCTGTTTTTCGTACCTGGCATCATTTCCATTGCCCAGCCCTTTACTTTCTTTGGAGGAATACTTATGACCTTTTCGGCCTCCCATTGACCATTCTATAATTAACAAATACATCATGAGAAAGGTGCTGATTACATAGAAGTTCTACAAACTGTATTTTCTATTGACAGATGAAGAGGGAATTACTCACTGGAGCACGGAAGAATCTGAAAATGGTTGAGCTGAGCGCGCATCCCACGTATCCTTCAGTAGCGGTAGGGTCATGGAGGAAACGAATCTCTAAAGGTAACTGACCATCAGGCCCAAGGTCAATTCTTTTGATTAGTTCGTGTGTTGTCCAGTCCATGACATTCAAGTGGTGACCATAGAGACCTTTGATAAATTAATGCAATTTTCTGATCTGCCCATCATATTTTATGAAAATATTCATCGCATTTTTGTACATGTAGATATTTTCACCATTTAAAATTTATAAATGATAATGCTCCAGGAAGGAATATTTCGTAAAATTGAAACACACTAAAACAGATAAAAATGATCATAAAGTACCGTCCGTAACGTGTTGAGGGTTGAATCCATTCCTGAAAGCTTTTGGAGCTCCCCATTCTGTACTTATCAGTACATTATGGTAAGGCTGGTACCAGTAGTCGTACCCAAATTCTAACGGCTGTTTCTCCCAGTTACCCTTCACAATGAACGACTGCCCATCCAGCAGAATAAAACCTCCTGCAGGGAAAAAGAGTGTTTGGTTTTCATTAATTGTTTGAAATCTTAGAATGTTTTGCTCATATATCTTACACAAAATACCGCCACCTACCTTTTGCGTTTTCGTTTTCATCTCCAAGACAGCTGATGAGAACTTCGCCCGACCCCAGACAATGGGTGGTATGTGGGGCTCCCAAATTTGCCTTTTTGTGTAGCTGCCATGGCTCTACACTCTACAATACAAAGCCATAAAATACGATTAATTTAAGAACATGAAATTTTAAGCATACAGTAGAAAAGCAGTAATAGAATTCAAGACATGGAAAGAAAGACAACTCTGGTGAATTTGAATTCAGGTTCATACCGTGAACAGACGAGGTTCTCGCTCGTTGGTTCCCACATCCACCACATACACTCTATCACTGTTAATACTGGGGAGGATCAAACGGTTTCTACTTTTGGTGCTGTCTCCAAAACAGCTGGAACAGGCATTCCAACCAGAGTGGTGCAATTCGTCTTCTTTGTTTGGCATGTAAAGACGATGTATAACCTGCAATTATATCATACTGCTGTAATCAAGGGTGTAATTGTAGAGTCTAACACGTGTAAAGGAATTTGAAACTAAATAATAAACTACATTGTAACATCTTATCAAACAACCATTCTGGAAAGATCATGTTACAATTTATTCTGTAAACATTAAGAACACAGTTAACTTTTATTTGGTCAATTTTAGGTTGTTTAAATTTCATGGTAATGAATTCCCCCAATGTATAGTATTTGAGGCTCTATATGATGAGATGATATGCAATTTTTATGGAGAAATGAACTTTGATGCGGGCAGTGACCCTTCAGGTATTTAAAGTATGGAAAGGTTTTTCAGTCTCAGATACAAAAAAATAGCTTATTAGTCGAACGAAATATTAAGATTGTGGACAAAAGTCAAATTGAAGGTACAAATTGGGAACAGAGCCAATACTGACCTCGGAAAACATCAGAGGTGGAATCAAATCTATGTTTAAATTATGTACAGTTTTGCTATTTTTTGAAATTATAATTCAACAACAAAATTACATATAAATTATTACTTAATAGAGTTTAAAAATCTCCTAATTAATTAACTATATTTGAATATATATGCAAGACATTGTTTTTATCCATTACAGATCTGAGTGGTTGTTGTTTTTAGACAGGGGATAATAATACTTGTTTCCTTAGGTTGATATCATAATTTCTGATCATAATTATATGCTGTATTCTTCCTAGACCTTCCCCAGCCTAGTATATATCTGTGTTCATTATGTTCCTCACTTACTAGTATTTAATACCCTCGTCTGATTATTTTCTTTTACTTTGCTTTTATTCTAATACATTTGATTATTTTACATTGCAGTGACTTTACATTTCAGGACTGAAAAAGGGATACTCATTTACCGGACGTTGTTGGTTTGCCTCATGTAAATTCATGTCATTTTTCTACCTATATGTAAGCCTTTACTTTTACAACATGTTTATAAAGTTTCAATAGTTGGCTATAATTTAAGGTAGGATTAATTTCTTACTTTACTATAGGTTGGTGAAGTGGGATCCACGTCTACCGTCGCTAGATAGTCCGAATGTTCCTTCTTTCTGCTTACGGGTGTTATGCAGGGAAGGTACACGATCTTCTCCCTGGGACCATGCCTCATGGCGTCCAGGGGCGTGGCATACCCCGGCCCTGTACCACAACAACCTACTGGAAAAGAAAATATCTGTTCACAAGTAAGTTGAAAATTTTACACATTAAAAGGTTTTTCCAATCATTGCTAGAAAGAAAATAATATAAACAGCAAGTAGTTTGTTTTGATCAGAGTATTTACAAGTACTTGAATAATTTGTATACTGTAGATCACCAAATATTCGCGACACGTTATTTTCGCGAGACAGGTATTTGGTATCTATTAGTGAGACAAAATTTTCATGAATGCTGGTCATTGCTTTATATATCCTATGCCCATAAAAATATACGCGAGAATGAAATTTTGCGAGCAGACCGTATAGCGTAAAACGCGAAAAGGGGGGGGGGGTGTCTTTTTTCATTACAACATGCGGAGCTTTTTTCGCTCAGATACCTTTGTGTCCAGACTCATTAAAAATAAAAGCTGCGGTTTATGGTATTTTGAACTGTTAATACTAGGATAAAACTTCAGAAGTCTGTGAATGGCATATGCATCTCTGCTGTTTATTCTTGTTTAAGCAAGGAATAAAATACTTTTTAAGAAAACTTGACAAATCATGAATATAAGATATTTTTTATTTATATACATGTACGCATCTCTGAATTATTTCTTGAAAAAAGTAAAGTTGCATGTAATACATTAAAAGTTTTAAAATATTCAGCTTAATCATATCTGTAACAACCTATACGTTTTTATATATAAGTTTATTTTATTTATTTTTTTTTTTTTTGTAATTTATAATGTAAAACATGTATGTATGCATTAAAATATTGGACTAAGGTTTACATTAAATTTTTTTATAGCATGCATACACACTAGTGGGTTAAGAATAATTATCTTCCTGGTAATGACGTAAATGTATGTTCTAATATTCCTCTATTTGGTATAATCTTCTCATTTTCTATCTCTAAAAACTGCACGACAAAAATATTCTCAGGATATATAGCATAATCGAAATACACTGCACACAGAATTTGAATCGCACAACAAACACATGGCAAAATATTTAGATAAGCGTTTAAAAAAGTCTAGTTCCCATGACAATTATCAATGCAGCCATTTTTTTTTACAATGACTGTTGACATATATCTTTCTGTGATGTAATCTTTAATGATCTTTAATAAGTATATCGGTGTGTGCATGTATATTTTTTATTCATGCACATACTCAATATTTACATTGACTTCCAGTGCCCGTGCATTTAGTCACTTATGTTATACCCACTAAACCAAGTACTGAGTAAACGAATTTTAGACGACAGACACCAACGGAATTCACGGGTATTCTCTCCATTACATACTTGAATGTGTCAACAGTAGTCACGGAGAGAAAATCCGTAGGTTTCACGGAGGAGAGAGAAATATAATCATGGCGGCCTTAAAATATATGTTGTTTTGAAATTTAATTTTTTTAAAAAGATGATTGATTATGGTGATATTTTGGTTGTATATAATTAGCAACATATGTACATCCTCTGAATCTTTTAATCAATCCAATAACATTATATGTCACAGGTGGTGAAAAATCAAGTCTATACCTGGACTTGAACCTAGGGCCTCAGGCGGACCGTGCAAGCGCTCTAACCATTGAGCTATTGAGACCCGAAATGTTAACTGACTTTAACACACCTGTGAACCCGGTGACATATACATGTAGTTAGAACCACTTTTTCAAGGCCACTTGTAAAAAATATTCCTTGGGCTGTGGGCTCCTCCATCAATGAAACATAACATGACGTTCAGGTCAATAATGGATTTATCATATTTTTATCAATATGTGTAACTCTGAGTTATCTCTTGAAAAAATGTTTAGTTGCATGTAAGACATTCAAAGTTGTAAAATTCTCAGCTTATTCATAATATCTCTAACAACCTACGTTATATAATATATATATATACGAGTTAATTTTTTTTAAAACTTATAATGTTAAACATGTACATGTATATCTGCATGAAAATACTGGACTAAGGATTACACTAAATTATTTGATAGCATGCATACAAACTAGTGGGTTAAGTACATCTTTTTGATAATGAGTACATGTATGTTCTAATACTTCTCAATTTGATATAATCTTTTCATTTCCTATCTAAAAACTGCATGACATAAATATTCTCAGGATACATAGCATTAAGAGGCTGTCCACCAAAAAAAAAAAGCAATGAACATCAAATTTCATGGATTTTAATCATTTTTCTGCATGTAGACTTTTTGAAGCAAATGTATACACATGGAGACATCATTGTCTGACGTCATGGCGTCAGACAGTATTAGATTTAGCCAAGGTTTGTTGGTCAAGTCGTTCAATAGAATTCTTGTGATAACTTGATCTTAGAAACTTCATACTATCTTCACTATCAATTTTGAGAGCATGACGAGTAAAGAAAACATGCTAAATACCCAAACAAGCCAGAGCATTATAGCTGGTGTCATTATTATCACATTATACATTACAGGTTATATAACATTTGGCCATTCTCGAATGCAGCATTCATGTCCAGCAAAACAAAGGAATGAAGCTGGTCAGGTCAACATTTGTTGATTATCTGTATCAGATTAACTAATGAATGTTTATAAATATTCAATGCATACTAAGTCTCTCTACCTTCAGAGTTTTTATAAATCTACACATATTGATAACTTGCAGACGTTTGATTTCTTCATAGTTAAAAAAAAAAATATAAAAGTGAAAGACATGTGTTGAATGTTCTTTTGCTTAAATGCAAAAATGTTAATTCATTTATAACACGTTTATTTTTTTTTTTAATAAAACATTTCTTAATTATCAAAATTGTTCACAGATTGATGTTAAGATTTAAAAGCACTGGTTATATCTTTGTATTCATGAACAGGCCTGTTGGAAGAAACCTCAGAAATTTTCGGTTCAGGGTGGACACTTTCAAGGAAAAATTCTGAATCTGCTGAATTGAACTTTTTTTGTTTCTTAGCAAAAGAATTCATTTCATTACTCAGAGTCATGTTGATTACACTGGATTTAACTTTTCTTGATTCTTCACGTAAAAATAAATTTGCTCAAGTCAGACAAGCTTTTTAGGAAAGCTAATACTTGTTGTTTTTTTTTAGTGTTTCTCTAGTCTTATTTCTGGTAAGTGCTTTATTTTAAGTGCAAAAGGGTCAACTAGATATGTCAGTAATTATTGTTTATAGTATTAACCCTTATCTTTTATTGTATCAATGAATAAGACAACTATTAATACTTCTTCAGACAAATTAGGTGCTCTAAAATCATTGAGTTAAACAAGTGACTTTATGAATTCACTATCGAATTTTCATTACGTTCTAAAATCCAATACATTTCAATCAGAATACTTTCTCCTCATATTATAAAAAATACAAAATACAAATTATTAAATAAATCAATAAATTTGGTAGAAACAGGCATGTTTAGAGAAATAAAAGGTGTCAAATTTATCTAATTTTTATAAATTTATTCAAATTAAGCCGATCCCGACCGGAATTATGTATAACAAAAACCTACAATAATTTCATCGTAAATTTGGTTGTTTTGTTGTAATATGGTTTATAAATTACTTGATAATACTTTTAAAAATATTTTCTCGCTGGCAATTGCATTTTGTTTGATAACTTGTTAATTTTGCATTAATTTCGATCGGGACTGGTTTTATTTCAATCTTGATTAGTTTATATCTTTAAAATAGAAATATTTCCTAAATTCGGTTCTTCGTTTTAATATATCCTGATAATACTTCTATCTTATATTTCTTTTCAGTGAATCACATTTTTTTATGATTTTATTCAAAGACTCAAATACATGTATATTGAAATTACTAATGTTTTTCAAGTCCATGAACAGATGAAGATCTTTTTTAATTAAAACATCTGTTTAATTTTATGATACTATATTTAACTAGTGCTAATTGTAACGGGAACCGTTACAAATGTTCCCCAAACGGCTCCCCAATTCCTTATGATGCCCCATTCCCTACAAGCTTCAATAAATTAGACAATACTTTTGTAGTATAGATGGGACACTTTATTTATAAGGGTATTTCATTGGAAAACTACTCCGATATAGCCATATGGGTATTAGCCAATCAAATTTCAGCGCATGTGCTTGATTCTACATTTTTCACATTAATTTTCTTATAGTGTCTCACAATACATACATTTGTGTTAAATATTAAAGAATTTCATTGAAAAACAAGAGAGATGTAACCCTTTAAGTATTAGCCAATCAGAATTCAGCATACGCGCATGCATGGCCTTGCATTCAATTTTGATAGTATCATAATGTAGGAGCCCTATGAGCATATCCATGTCGTAAATTCCATCATGTTTTGTTGAAAACCAAATGAGTTATAGACATTTAAAGTCTCAGCCAATCAGATTGCAGCACACCTGCCTGCGCGTGGTTTCAAGAGATTTCCTATGTAACATGTTGTAGCACCTTATAATATATACTTATATTTTAAATTTCAAAGTATTTCGTCAAAAAACAAGGAAATTATTGAGATTTTTGTATCAGCCAATCAGAGGAGAGCGCACGTGCATGCGCGTGAGTTCATGCTAATTTGACCATGTCAACTTGTCTAGACTACTAATATATCTTTATATTTTGAGTTTCAAAGCAATTCATCAAGAAATATAAAAGTTACGGCTTTATCAAGTATATCAGTCATTTCACTCAATGCACGCGCGCGCACGTGCATGCATGTGCGCGCAAAATGACCTTCGTTCCGCACACCTACACAACATGCCTATTAACCCTAAAAAGGTTTCATGTCAATCGGATGAGAGGTTCTATGAGAACACTCCCGGACAAAAAAGTACCGGAGAAGAAAGTAGAAAAAAAGAATAATAATAATAATAATAATAACTAGTATTAATTGTAACGGGGACCGTTACAGATGTTCCCCAAACGCTCCCCAACACCCTCTTGGTGTCTTATTTCCTGTAAGCTTCATTAAATAAGGCAATGAAGTATATTGATCGTTTTTTGCATTTCACGCGCGCGCACGTGCATGCATGTGCAGGA